TAGTCTCGCATACGAGCGCTTAACCACTTGACTCATGATCTCAGCTATTGAAATTACTACAATCTCCACAAAACCCCTTCTAATACAATCAAATCAATTAAAGGCAGGTATAAGAATTTCAGGATAATAATATTTGCCGTAATTTAAATTTATAAAAATAACAAATAGACTTTTTTCTTATTAAATGTAATTTGAGAAAAAAACCCGGTAAAGTCGAAAATATTATTCTGTAATTTCTCAATATAACACGTTTGGAAGCTAACAATCATTTCCGGAGTAAATTGCATTTGGTACTGCGTAAATGTCTTTCTGTTTCGTTATCATTAGGTTTAGATAGTAACGATCTACTCATGAGTTCATAACAGAAAAATATCTCTGAATTAATGATGAGAATTAATACTCAGCTTTGCTCTTAGATTACAAATTATAAGACTGAATCATTACCAACAACAATATTTAAACTGGTGATAACTCCGAGAAGTCAAAACTCATAATTCTCAGAATGTCTTCTACTTGACTATTTACTTTTAGTCTATTCATTAAATAAAAATATAACAAATAACCTAAGTAACTTAACCATTAGAATTCAACAAGTAAAGTTGTATTGAAATTACGTTTTCTGATAATCTTTACATCATTTCTTTATGATATTTCCATTTAGTTTTCATGTAAATATTATGTTAGGTAAACACTATTACTCCAAACAGTCAATATTAGTTGACGTATTCTAAATAGATAACAGTTTAACATCCATTATTATGATCTCATCCACTAATAATTACGGTATATTAAAATATAAATTAACGTTCGATTCTAATTTTCGTCATATCTTTATATTTACTTATGAGTAGGCTGATATCCCATATGTTTGTTGAAAATAATTTCCTTATCCTATTACATAAGATTCATGAAACAAATAATGACATCACTAATTTTACACAAATTAATGCAAATTATTAGTTGACAATTATCTATTTTTATCAATGACTATCACATGATTCAATCTTGTTTATTATTGTTGATAACCCAGTTGTTTCTGTTTCTTTTCGAATACATGTGATTGTTTTTAGTTATTCTATGCAATACAATGACTCGTTGAAATATCATAACATCTAGAAAATGTCATACAGTAATCATTCCTCTATGTACATATAAAATGGATTACTATGAAAGTAATTATTATCACCGACATGAATTACTTAAAGATTCATTTAATATAAGAAGGTAATAAAACAATTGTTCGTCAATATGCAAAGATGGATGGTGGCTAACAGTGGAATTCAGGAAGAGCGTTCCATCCTATTTGGAACTCGTTATCTGAATGTATCTGCATCCCAAAGTTGGTGTTTACCCCATGACTGGAACCCAGTACCGTTCGCTTTAAACGCCATCGCGTTGTTCACTTAGCTACTGAGTTCTGATAGCCACTTGTTTATGCTATGGGATGAAGTTTAATACGCATAATATCCACATATGCCAACAAGTGACTGATCAAACGCAGTCCTAAACATCAATGGGAAGATTCAAACGAATAATACCAAAGTGAATTTAATTGTTCGCTTAGTTAGCTACTATCCAATAAGACATATTCACTTTTTTAGTTAGGCATCAAACAGTTATTTCAATTAGAGCATAAAAATGTCAAAATGAATTTAAACTAATTTAAAACGAAGTATGAACCAACATTAAAAGATTGGCATTAATGGTAGAAAAAGGGTTTGCTTGAGTTAATGGTTATAAAGTTCAGAATTAAACAGAATTATTTTAGTCGAGATAACCATATAATGAGTAGGATAACTTATTATTGAAAAAACTACTCAGAAAAATTATTGTATGTTTTTCAATTATTATTTTGTTGTTATTGTTGTTCTACTTTTCCTAACCTACATTCATATCGTGTTTCGTGATGTTTTACGAAATGTTTTTTGTTGTTTAATATTTCACTAGGTAGAACAAAATACTGATATTGACAGTATTAAACTTGAACTATTCTACCAGGCAACTTAACCAACGAATGAGTGAACATCTACCAGCTTGGTTTATAAAGGGTCAGATAAAAACAATCTGCAGTTCTATATTGACACATCTCATGGATAGCGGTCATGCTGTAGATAAATCGAAAACATTTCGAGTGATCTATCGTATACCTCCATCATTTCCCAACAGACTTCGTTCCCGCCTGCTACATATAGCTGAAACCATAGGAATTCGTACATATAACCCCAATTTATATGTACAGAAGAAATTCGTAACCACCCTATCCCTTCCATGGCCAGTTATAACTTAACTAACGGTTTTTTATATAATTATTATCATTATTTATTTATTTATTTTATTCCATTTTTGTTATCATTAGCCTCATTTTGACATCTAGTATTTGTTTGTAATTTTCCACCTCTTGCCGCTTGTATTCTTCTTTACCTAATTATTTACACACTTCTTATTACGTTATGATTTTAATGTTTTGTGTTGGCTATTCCAAGTCTATTTAAAACCTAAAGGCAAAGCAAATATAATACTGATATTTATCATTCCAAATCACATCAGTAAAGACTTGTGTGAGTGGCGTAGAAATCTTGTTCACTAATGTCTTTTTATGACTAGAAATAGTTACTCATCAAACAACTATGGAAAACAAGATGAGCCAGTGATAGTATTATGAATAGTACAAATAATTAGATCTATCTACTATCAACTTGCACAATATTTATAACGTCATAAACCCACTATTTTGATGGCTTTAACAATAAACCTTTTACAGGATATCATCTGTCGCAAATTGAGTTAATCGTTTCATGATTTAGTACTAACATTCAATACGTACTTTTTTTAATGAGAAAATTTGAATTTCATTAAACCGAACAATCATATCTAATAAACTTACTAGGTAAACTTATTTTTGTTAAAACTAAAATGCCTTTTTCATTCATAGGAATTATAGAATAACTTAGAAAATTATAAACAATTCCTTAAACCAAAATCCATCACATCAGGGAAAGATCAAAATAACTGCATTTTACACCCTCATCAATACATTCTAGACTTGAAAGGGTCATTCATTAAAAAAGAGTGACCTTTTATTTTACCCATCAAAAAGTACTTGTCTAAAATCTCGTGAAAATCATTTACTTAAACTCATGTATTTTATTCTTATCAATAGACAGACAATATTTATCTTGATGGATAAGATGTCCAGAAATTCAGCTTGTTTAAATTAATATAAAATTATCATCATAAAAGAAGACAAATCATTTATAACTAACTTCTGTTATCTATTTCATTACTATCTAAATAAATCAAGTAGACAAGATGATAAAGTTATTCAGTCTTCAAAGAGCATAGTCAAAATGATTGTCATTAAATATGAATGTAGATAAATTCATTAGTTTGATTTCTATGACTGACCTACCAGACAATGATAAATAATATATATATGTTTATGAGTAAATACATTAGTAAGTTTTGCAAGTGTTTCTGTATAAGTTGATGAAATTTTTCATCATCATCATATCCAATATCAAGTGAATAATTATTAAAAACTGTATACTATTATACATCTGTTTTCTCTCAGCTTGTAACCTTTCATTTAAAGTAGATTCATGATTGAAATAACTGGAAAATATAGAAAACAAAACTTCAGGAACTGACTTAGTTTAATAATGATCGTGAAAGTAGTAATAATTAAATTCTAGATAGATTTTTTTTTTAAATTTCAATAAGAATCTTTAACCTATGGAGTCAACAAATTATAGAGATAATGTAATGCGTGCTATTTATATTGATATAAGTAGTATATGACGTGAGTCAGGAATGTAATGTCTGGCAGCAGAAGATGGAGAAGATCAAGAAAGAAAAACCGGGAATAGAGAGCAATTGGTATGGAAATGCAAGGACAACGAAGTTCGAGACAATCATTGAACATTTTGCAAATTAATTATTATAGTATGATTTTTCTATTTTACCAAGTAACTTTGTAATTTTGTGCTAAATATAATTCGGTCGTCTCCGCCCGTGTTCTGTTCACTACAATAAGACAGTGATTAACTAATAATATCTGATAAGAATGGCACAATATCACTAATAGATTGAGATTGAATGAATAATTTACCGAGTCCTTATCAGGCAGTTTAAATAAATTATACTCATCCCAAAGCTTAAAAACATTATAGCTGAACTATATTCATAGTCTAATGAGTGCAAACTGATAAGAATCAGGTAGAAATATCTATCAAGTGCTCTTCATTTTTTTATTGGTGTAAACATCAGATTTCGATAAGCATTAACTATAGGTTACTTATGTTATAATGTGTTATTATTTTGAATATAGCTCAACATGGTTTCTAACACAGCATAACTTCTAAGAATTAGTAAAATTAGCTACATCCGAAATTTCGTGTATATAAGTATATTGTAGTTTGTTTCTTTCTATGTGTTTAAACATGAAGCTGTTATACTTTGTCACATAAAGTAGGTTTTCCCCCTAGTTTTACAGGTAAACTGTCTTCTTTGAAATCACTTATACCGTATGCCTTTACTTATAGGTAGTTCAATATCTTATATACTTGCCTTACCCTTAATTGTTAGGATCTATTTTTAAACTTTTTCAAGGAAACTTCTCTAAACGGGAAACTAAAGACTTTTCCAAACTTTATACAAGATATCGTAGTTCATTTAAAATGAACAAATTGCCTTATGAACCATCAGGTTCTTTTCAAATATAATCTAAGATTAAACTTCAATCATTCTATTAATGTCAAAAATCGGCTTTATATACAATGTTCCTTTACTTGACCAAGAAAGGGTTTTAGCGTTGTGCTAAAGCAATAGTCCACTTTTCTTTAAAATAGGATCTCTTATGCCATGAAGCTTAATTACCATTGTTGAGTTCCCTCTTATAATTTTTAAGGTTGCTATGTGAATCGCTCATTATTGTGCCTGAATAGAGTTCAGATATCATGATAAAATAGAGCAACAGCACACAATCTGCAATAATTACTTACTTACGCCTGTTAGCCCTCCCCATAGCGGAACATAGGCCACCAACCGGCATTCTCCATACAACCCTGTCCTGCCCAGTCCTTTCCAGTTCTTTCCAGATGCTATTCATACTTTTGATGTCTGCATCCAATTCTCGACGCAGTGTATTGATTGGCCTTCCTATTTATCGCTTCCATTCAGGATTCCTAGTTAGCGCTTGCCTCGTAATGCAGTTTGGTGGTTTCCTGGATATGTGTCCAATCCACTTCCGACGTTTTCTCATAATTTCCTCTTCAGATGGAAGTTGATTAGCAGTCTTGTCTGACTTACTTGAAATGCGATTGTCAGCTGTGTTCCACGCACTAGTTTTAAGTATAGTTAATCTCAAGAATTCTTTATAATATTAATGATTTTCTCAGGCACTTTAAGTAGCCTAGTGATATTACAGGTTCTAAGAGCTTAACTACCAAATGGAACTGATGCATCAGTAATATTAATTAATTAAACTTCTTTGTAGTTATTTTCTAATATATCGATTTGTACATTATATGTATATAGATTGCTATACAGTGAACTATTGAGCAAGTTAACTAAACATTATAAACTATTAGAAAGTGTCTTCAATAAATTCCATATAATTGGAAGATTGTTTTTGATATGATGTAAAGAAAAGTCAAAATTCAGTTGGCTTACTCATTATGAGTTTTGTTCAACATTACTTCCGTTTTGATTCAATGTAGTGATTACTCAATGTAGTGTTTGGTTTGCTTTTCTCGTATGATATTTTATTCTGTATAATATACGATATTCTTGTATTCCATTGACATGAACTATGCTCATTATGTGATTTGTTATACCTCTAAATATTTTTCTTATATGTGATTACATTCTAATTATTAATCAAAATGAGTGTATTTTCGACTAGAGTCGTCAACACTGTCTGGAATAACATTCCTTTCACTAGTCTTCTGTCTTCTTATTGCGACTTGGAAGGGTTCTAGCATTCTAGTGCTCAAGTTACACGCGGTACATCAAGAATATAAGCTCTAGATATAACAGTTTTAATTGTAAATTAGCACTATCTTAAAGAGCATTTCTTTCAAATTGTACATTTTCTCCAGAACCTCTGACTGATCCAGATTTATTTATCCAATAATAATGACTGACATTGAGAAACATTTCCAAATATTTCGATTAAAAATCAAACAAATAAACAAACACTTACCAGTAAAAGTATAGTAAACTGACAAACTACTGAAAAAAAGCGAAAAAAAGCTTTATGGTAGCCTTGATTTAAAAAGAAAATTTATTTCTTCTAAAGTATATTAATGAATCATAGTTTTTATCAAAAATAATAACCAAATATTTCATGTATCATTGTGTTTCTCAATTAATTTACAAACATAGAGTTGTCAGTTCTATCAAATGAAATGCGCTTATTGGATTGATACAAATCAAAATTTATTTGACAGTAGAAAAAAAATTTCATCTAATCAATATTATTCTATCTTGTTTATAACAAACCTTTTTATTGGTATCCACTTTTATTTTTCCAATATAAAATTCATTGTATATTTGAAAAAGTAAACAAATGATTAGTATCAGGAAGGGTTTTGTGGAGATTGTAGTAATTTCAACAGCCATGGATGCGCGCTGCTGAGGAGTCCCGCAATAGGACGAAACGGCCGTCCAGTGCTCCCAGGTTTTCGATTGTGGTCTTGCTTCAATTAACTCATGATCTCAATTGTTGAAATTACTACAATCTCCACAAAACCCCTTCTGATACTAATCAACATATGCTCACTACTGACTGGCTTCAAGTTGCATATCCTGCAGTTCTAGTGTGGAGCAATGACAAGTAGAGTTCAACCTCGTCAGTTGTGAGATATTAACTCACTGATGACAGTGGTGGATGTGTCGCTCAATTTCGTGGATTAGTTGAAGTTAAACATTTACGCTGTCGGATGCCGGCTCAGTGGTCCAGTTGGTTAAGCGCCTGGGCTCGAATCCCGCCAGGCTGGGTCGTGGACGCCCACTACTGAGGAGTCTCACAATAGGACGAAACGGCCTACCAGTGCTTCCAGGTTTTCCATGGTGTTCTAATTTCAATTGACCCATGATCTCGACTGTTGAAAGTAAACAAATGAATTGATACTCAATTGAGTCATTTTCTATATAATGTATATTAATCAACTATTAATTGACTAAAATCTAGATGTAGATATTTTTTTGTTCTTCCATCATTCGAGATCCTGTATTCTTGTTACTTACATTTAAATATATGTAATCTAAATACATGTACACTTGTGATTTTGAAGATAGTTTATTAAAAATAACTAAATATAAGAATAGGAAGAAACTGGCTATCAGGTATTTGTTTTTTTTTCTACTCGAAAAGCGCACTTCATATCTTCAGTATGTAAGTGTACAATTTTGTTTAGCCTATCTGTTCTATGCTTCTTTGTCTTTAGGAAATTTCTCCACATTTACAGTTCCCTCAATAGTCCATGATACTATTTCTATTTTTTGTTTTGTTTTACAAAAGTGAATTCACAATATGATTGACTGTTTTAATTTTGTACTTGTTTTCATTTAACCTAGTTTAATACAAAACGATGACTAGCCGATTTCTTGAAATTGTGCGAAAAAAACAAACGAGAGTGATTATAGAAAGGTCAACTAAATAATATACATATGTACGATAACACTTTTTTTCCCTACTCTCTATTTATTAACTAAAGCAAGTATAATTTTGTCTTGCCTTGTCCTCATTTACTGACTACATTTAAAATGTTATACGCAGTAATATAATACGATTTTTTTACCAAAACGTATGATATTATGATGTGTTTTTTTGTCTTATTCTATGTCTTTCTTCTTCGGTTCTTTCATCTGTCTTGGTCGTTTGTTGTTTATGTCTGGTAAATTTTTCTGTTATTATTTGTTACTTAAATTTGGCACATAATAGACAAAAACTAAGTTTCATAACATCATTACTTAATTAGTGCTTTGAAAAATAAACATAGTCTTGTATTAAAAAGTATGAATTACATAGACGAAAGATGAAATTACCAAGAACAAAAAATCCACCGATAATTAGGAATGGTTTATCACTGAATTGATATCTGGTCGAATCTTATCAATCAACTTGCGATATAGTCACTAGCCTATGGGACTAAATATCGTGTGTACTATACTGAGGTGTTAGGTGGTAGTTGGTAGGAAACCCGACTGTCAACTACATCCAATCACCTAATAAGATAAGAATGATGACTGAATAATGCGATGAAGAAGTGCATGTTCACTAACTTTCTATATATAAAATATATTTAAAAAGGATAAATACCATCTATGATGATCTAGTTTGTTTTATTTACCATACAGTAATATGTGACTCAGAAAAATAGCCTATTTTGTTATTTGTGCTTCTTCATTCTATTCATTATTTACTTACTCATTTTGTCCTGAAAATAGCTTTCTTAGTATATCCTAAAATGAGTACAGACGTGGGGTTTGTTTCCAGAAATTATGTCTTCTTTCACTAGGATGACGTTTAATATGAAGAAAAATGAGTAATTTTCACAACTAAAATTGAAAATCAATTAAGACCACCATAAGGATTCTGTTAGTTTTAAAGAATACCTCTTTCCATAGAAAAATAAGACCTAATTATAAAAACTGGAATTTATGATAGACATTTTATTGTATACACTGCTTTATAATACAATCAGTCTTAAGTAACGGTTTGAACTTTGAGACATTGCGCTATGAAAAATTCAGTTGCTACTTTAATAAATTTAATATTTTTTGATAAAGAATCTAACTTCACTTATTCTGTAAGGACTCTTCGAAAATTGTAATACAACACTTTTACAAATTAATATAACATGATAACAATAGTTTCAAAATCCAATTGCATGAAAGGATAATTTGTAAGTTGAATGGTTCCATCTTTGATATTTGTCCCTTTCTACTGTAATATATACTACTCATGTTTGTTGACATAAGTAATATATAACGCCAATCAGAAATAGAATTCAGAGCATCAGGAGGTTAGGAAGATCGAATTGAAGAAAAATAGGAGTATAAACAGAGAGTAATATTAATAACAGCAGAAATGAAGGAACGATGAAGTTTGTAAGAGAGAATTGATGGATAATATGCAAATAAAGTATTTAATGTATGTTTTTTTTATATTTCACAAAGACATTCTGTAAATAAATTGGTTTTCTTCATCAAGTCTTCGTTCACTGTTTTACATACTAACCTCAATTTCACTTTATAAAGTAATTTTCAACCCTAAGACGTCCGTTTGTTTATATAATATTGTTTTACAATTCTATTATTGTATTCTAGGATTACCGTAGTTGTGAATGATACCATAATATACCACAGTATATTCATTCATGTATCTTAAGACAGCCTGTATTAGTGCTTTTCACTTTATATACCAATATATACAAATAAACTCTTTTTCAGTCTTCGTGAAAGTTTTGGTCTTATAAATGTATACTATCTAGAATCACTTAATAAACATAATTTAAATTTATCCGGCTCACAACTGAGAACACATCAGTATCAGTTTATCAGTGAACTGATGTACACAACTGTGCTAAACTTCACTAGAATTAGTTAGTATGACAAATAGATGAATTCATACTGACTTAATTCTATGTCTAATATTTTCCTAAATGCTATAAAACGATCGTATATTTCAAATAATTTATTATTGAGCTATAATTTAGTAATTAAAGCACTCGTATTACAACCAATAAATCACAGGTTCAAATCGCTTTCCTTCTAGTTTGCTTTAAGTAGCCTAGTGATATTACAGGTTCTAAGAGCTTAACTACCAAACGAAACTGATGCATCAGTAATATTAATTAATTAAACTTCTTTGTAGTTATTTTCTAATATGTCGATTTGTACATTATATGTATATAGATTGCTATACAGTGAACTATTGAGCAAGTTAACTAAACACTATAAACTATTAGAAAGTGTCTTCAATAAATTCCATATAATTGAAAGATTGTTTTAATTGCA